AAAAAAGCACATGAAATCCGTTTCAAGCTAGCAGCTACATCATATGTGGTTTGAAATCCTATTCAAATACCATATGCCTCAGTCTGAACGATCGGATTTCGGATGGAATGCGACTTTCACGTCACATAAAATGTAACGTTAAACATCAGTTTTAGAGGAGACATGCTGCAAGTCGCTGCCGAAACAATGCTGTGTTGTTGCAAAGTGCCGGACGAGCAGAAAAATATTATTTCTGAAACATGTATTGAAACCGGCGCTGACAAGAACGCGGAAAAAGCCGTAACGTTGCATAACAGATTCCTACCGTTCTGCAGCTCAATACGCAATTCCACCAGAGGCTGTTGCTTAAAGTCCCTAATATAGTCCAGCGCGGCGGTGGCTACACACATCCATGTTGTAAAAATTAAATAAGAAAACATCACTATTGCAAATGCAAACCCCTCCATCAGTGTCAATGTCAGTGCCGTATTGCTGATGCTGTGCCTCTGTCAACCACAAACGCCTTCTTTCATCAGTTTTTGCACTCTTCTCTTTAACGTTTGGTAGTCTGTAACTCAAAAGGTATTTTCCCCGATGTGACAGTGACAGATTAGTACAGACCAAAACTCGGCCATTTTTCAGCATAAATAATCAGCCAAATTTGAAGGAAGGTGAACTTTGAAAAGGTGGACTTTCATTTTTGCATTTCTTTCTCTTGCTATAGGACATTTGATTTTCCTTTGAAGTAAATAACTTTTGTAAATAACCATAAGAAATTAGTGAAACTGATTTTATTTATTTATTTTATTTTATTTCCTAATTAATGTTGTTTTATTGGCAATAATATATAGACCTTGTTGTTTTCAGGTTCATAATAATAATACGTTGTTTCAATAAGTGTTTAACCTGTCCGGCCCTTGACCTATAGCAATTTTTTGATCTCGGCCCACTGTGTATTTGAGTTTGACACCCCTGGTCTAGAGCCTCCATTTTTGCACTCAGGTGTAAGTCTCACGGCCCTCTATCAGAATCCAGAGTTTTGAGAAGATTGGAGATACTTAATTTTTCGCCCCCAAAAAAAAAAACGTAAGGGGTAACACTGTCGTTTTTTTTTCGGGTCGAAATTTTGAGTTTCGATATCTCAGCTCTGGAAGGGTCTAGAGCCTCCATTTTTGCACTCAGGTCAAAGTCTCATGGCCCTCTATCAGAATCCAGAGTTTCGAGAAGATTGGGGATACTTAATTTTTCGCCCCCCAAAAAAAACGTAAGGGGTAACACTGTCGTTTTTTTTTTTCGGGTTGAAATTTTGAGTTTCGATATCTCAGCTCTGGAAGGGTCTAGAGCCTCCATTTTTGCACTCAGGTGTAAGTCTCAGTGCCCTATATCAGAATCCAGAGTTTCGAGAAGATTGGGGATACTTAATTTTTCGCCCCCAAAAAAAAACGTAAGGGATAACACTGTCGTTTTTTTTTTTCGGGTCGAAATTTTGAGTTTCGATATCTCAGCTCTGGAAGGGTCTAGAGCCTCCATTTTTGCACTCAGGTGTAAGTCTCAGTGCCCTCTATCAGAATCCAGAGTTTCGAGAAGATTGGGGATACTTAATTTTTTGCCCCCCGCCCAAAAAAACGTAAGGGGTAACACTGTGGTTTTTTTTTCGGGTCAAAATTTTGAGTTTCGATATCTCAGCTCTGGAAGGGTCTAGAGCCTCCATTTTTGCACTCAGGTCTAAGTCTCAGTGCCCTCGATCAGAATCCAAAGTTTCGAGAAGATTGGGGATATTTAATTTTTCGCCCAAAAAAAAAATGTAAGGGGTAACACTGTCGTTTTTTTTTCGGGTTGAAATTTTGAGTTTCGATATCTCAGCTCTGGAAGGGTCTAGAGCCTCCATTTTTGCACTCAGGTCTAAGTCTCAGTGCCCTCTATCAGAATCCAGAGTTTCGAGAAGGTTGGGGATACTTAATTTTTTGCCCAAAAAAAAAAATGTAAGGGGTAACACTGTCGTTTTTTTTTTTCGGGTCGAAATTTTGAGTTTCGATATCTCAGCTCTGGAAGGGTCTAGAGCCTCAATTTTTTCACACAGGTGTAAGTCTCAGTGCTCTCTATCAGAATCCAGCTTTTCGAGAAAATTGGGGATACTTAATTTTTCGCCCCCGAAAAAAAACGTAAGGGGTAACACCGTCGGTTTTTTTTCGGGTCGAAATTTTGAGTTTCGATATCTCAGCTCTGGAAGGGTCTAGAGCCTCCATTTTTGCACTCAGGTGTAAGTCTCAGTGCCCTCTATCAGAATCCAGAGTTTCGAGAAGATTGGGGATACAAAATTTTTCGCCCAAAAAAAAAAAAAAAACGTAAGGGGTAACACTGTGTTTTTTTTTCGGGTCGAAATTTTGAGTTTTGATATCCCAGCTCTGGAAGGGTCTAAAGCCTCCATTTTTGCGCTCAGGTCAAAGTCTCATGGCCCTCTATCAGAATCCAGAGTTTCGAGAAGATTGGGGATACTTAATTTTTCGCCCCCCCAAAAAAAATGTAAGGGGTAACACTGTCGTTTTTTTTCGGGTCGAAATTTTGAGTTTCGATATCTCAGCTCTGGAAGGGTCTAGAGCCTCCATTTTTGCACTCAGGTCTAAGTCTCATGGCCCTCTATCAGAATCCAGAGTTTTGGGAAGATTGGAGAAACTTAATTTTTTGCCCGAAAAAAAACCCGAAAGGGGTACCACTGTCGTTTTTTTATTTCGGGTCGAATTTTTGAGTTTTGATATCTCAGCTCTGGGAGGGTCTAGAGCCTCCATTTTTGCACTCAGGTCTAAGTCTCATGGCCCTCTATCAGAATCCAGAGTTTTGTGAAGATTGGGGAAACATAATTTTTCGCCTGAAAAAAAAAACGAAAGGGGTACCACTGTCGTTTTTTTTTCCGGTCGAATTTTTGAGTTTCGATATCTCAGCTCTGTAAGGGTCTAGAGCCTCCATTTTTGCACTCAGGTCTAAGTCTCATGGCCCTCTATCAGAATCCAGAGTTTTGGGAAGATTGGAGAAACTTAATTTTTCGCCCGAAAAAAAAAAAACAAAAAAAAACGTAAGGGGTACCACTGTCGTTTTTTTTTCCGGTCGAAATTTTGAGTTTCGATATCTCAGCTCTGGAAGGGTCTAAAGCCTCCATTTTTGCGCTCAGGTCAAAGTCTCATGGCCCTCTATCAGAATCCAGAGTTTCGAGAAGATTGGGGATACTTAATTTTTCGCCCAAAAAAAAAAAACGTAAGGGGTAACACTGTCGTTTTTTTTTCGGGTCGAAATTTTGAGTTTCGATATCTCAGCTCTGGAAGGGTCTAGAGCCTCCATTTTTGCACTCAGGTCTAAGTCTCATGGCCCTCTATCAGAATCCAGAGTTTTGGGAAGATAGGAGAAACTTAATTTTTCGCCCGAAAAAAAAACCGAAAGGGGTACCACTGTCGTTTTTTTATATCGGGTCGAATTTTTGAGTTTTGATATCTCAGCTCTGGAAGGGTCTAGAGCCTCCATTTTTTTGCACTCAGGTCTAAGTCTCATGGCCCTCTATCAGAATCCAGAGTTTTAGGAAGATTGGAGAAACTTAATTTTTCGCCCCAAAAAAAAAACGAAAGGGGTACCACTGTCGTTTTTTTTTCGGGCCGAATTTTTGAGTTCCGATATCTCAGCTCTGAAAGGGTCTAGAGCCTCCATTTTTACACTCATGTCTAAGTCTCATGGCCCTCTATCAGAATCCAGTTATGTGAAGATTGGAGAAACATAATTTTTCGCCTGAAAAAAAAAAACGAAAGGGGTACCACTGTCGTTTTTTTTTTCCGGTCGAATTTTTGAGTTTCGATATCTCAGCTCTGGAAGGGTCTAGAGCCTCCTTTTTTGCACTCAGGTCTAAGTCTCATGGCCCTCTATCAGAATCCAGAGTTTTGGGAAGATTGGAGAAACGTAATTTTTCGCCTGAAAAAAAAAAAACGAAAGGGGTACCACTGTCGTTTTTTTTTTCGGGCCAAATTTTTGAGTTTCGATATCTCAGCTCTGGAAGGGTCTAGAGCCTCCATTTTTGCACTCAGGTCTAAGTCTCATGGCCGTCTATTAGAATCCAGAGTTTTGGGAAGATTGGAGAAACGTAATTTTTCGCCTGAAAAAAAAACGAAAGGGGTACCACTGTCGTTTTTTTTTAGAGCCAAATATTTGAGTTTCGATATCTCAGCTCTGGAAGGGTCTAGAGCCTCCATTTTTGCACTCAGGTCTAAGTCTCATGGCCCTCTATCAGAATCCAGAGTTTTGGGAAAATTGGAGAAACTTAATTTTTGCGCCCGAAAAAAAAAAAAAACGTAAGGGGTACCACTGTCGTTTTTTTTTTTTTTTTTCCGGGTCAAATTAAGTGAAAGCAAATTAAGTGAAACTTAAATGAAAGAGAAACTATTATCAAAACTCAAGTACAATGAAGCAGGAATCTGGATTAAAACAACAACAACAAAAAAAGGAACACACTGTATTGATAAGATGCATGTACCTGTGCTGTTGAGGCTACTCGAGCCAGGCGAACCCTTCCTCCGTTTGGCTTCTAGACGTGCCTCTGCGTGATGATCGTTACTCTGGTGAACAAACGGCCCGAGGGAGAGGGTGGAGTCGCTGCTGTTCATCACCACACTCATGCGTTTAATAGACTCAGCGGGGCTGCCAGAAGGAGGGCCACGTCCCGTCGATTCCTGCTTCAAGCTCAGAGAGTTGGCCCTGCCTGGGGTGCAGTTTACCCCCACACTGTACACCCCACTGTGGGATGACGACGACGCTGATGACGATGAAGACGAAGTGGGGGTGGAGGCGAGTGAGGAATGATAGGCACTGCCCAGGCTGCCCACGTTTACTGCGCAGTTCTTCTTAAAAGAGGAGGATGAGGATGATTCCGAGGTGTAAGTGTTATGGGAGGTTAGCAGGGAACTGTTTTTCCGCTTCTTTCCCGAACTGAGGCTTCCGCTCGCACTTCCGCTGACGCTAACACTGCTACTATTACTACCCTTGACGACAGAGTTACTTAGGCTGGAGGATGGCTCCCGAGCCCTAAAGGACTTTGTACCAGATCGGGATTTGAGGGGACGGTTGGAGCCCAACGAGGGTAGCGAGGACAAGTGGGCTGAAGGCATCTGGGGTGATGAGGCTGACACTTGTCTAGAAGCGCCACTGTAGGCGGGCTGCTCGCTTGCAGAGGCTTGCGGAGAAGAGCGGGCGTTCAGGGTAGTGCCGTACGACAGGACAGGCTTGCTATCATAAGGCGGCGACGAAGACAAGCTGAGAAAGCCTGCAGAAATGGAGGATGATGAGGAAGAATGGGAATTTGTGCTTGTCCGGTGAGAGGCTGTCGGTGTTGTTGCAGAGTTCTCCGACGCCAGAGGGATTTTCCTACAAAGCAAATGGAAGAAATCACAATTAGGTGTGTGTTCATCAGAAAAACACCTACTTGCAGGAAGGGTTTCAACACACTTACTTCCACATTTGTGAGTTGACATGCTTGTCCAGCATGGTGGTGAGAGCACACCGTACTTGATCCCAGCGCCGGTCCAACGCATAACATCCTCTACCGTACAATCGACTTCCAAAAGTGCAGTACTGGTGAGAGACGAAACTTGAATAGTACATTTATATGGAGTTATTCAGAATAATCTCTTCAATCATTCAGATGAAGGGCGACTCAATTAAAATGAGGCCCTGGATATTAATTTCAAACTCATTTAAGAATAGCTTAGTGATTCAAAAGCTCAAAAAAATGCAAGAGACACTTGAGTTTGAGAAAAAAAACCTCACTAACACTTTAAGATCACAAGGTTTCTTGTACTTACAGCAGCTGGTCGTGGGTGGTAACCTGAATAATGACAGTCCAGTTTCTCCATTGCTTCCTCCCTCTCCTCGTTTTCCCCCTCGTCACTGGAGAGGCGGCTGCTCTCAGTACTAACAGGGGCCGGGTGGGAGTGGTGGGCCTGGTCGTGGGCCATGGCTGGGTCTCCTCCACTGTGAAAGTTACTGTTGTTAAGTCTGAAGATAAAGAAGAGCATCTTAATAATGACTGATCTAATGAGATCTATAAATATGACTGGAAACTTTCACAATCTGGCTAATCAATCAAACAGGAATCTGATTTAGAGGAAATGGTGGGGCAGGAGGAAGCAACTCACCGTGGAAGCCCAGAATTATGAGGTTTGGGTTTGAGGGGCAAAGGCTTGGTGGCATCAGCAGTGCCATTGCCATGGGAGACCGGGTGAGGGTCTTGTGGGAGGCGGGAGTGGGGAGGGTCCCTGAGAGGGGGTGCTGGGTGTGAGGGGTCCAACCTGAAGTGCATCTCCTTGTCACGCGCTTTGCTCTTGTGCTCAGCGAGCAGCGTGTCAAAGCGCTGCCGCCGCCCGAGCACCGCCCTCCTCTGGCTTATGGAATGTGTCTGTGGAGACATGGGGGTGATATTTAACTGTTTAGTCAAGCACTTACTAATTAGGGACGTCCTAGAGATGCACTATACTGGTGCATATATACATATAGATACATATATAAATATACATACATATATATATATATATATATATCTATATATATGCACTATACTGGTTTTCTGAGTAGGAAGATAAAACCAGGATAATATTTGAGCTTTTTATCTGTTATATTATTACTTCTATATTGCAATATTATAGTATTATGGCAATATTCAAAGATTTTTATAAAACCAGGATAATATTTGAGCTTTTTATCTGCTATATTATTACCTCTATATTGCTATATTATAGTATTATGACAATATTCGAAGATTTTTATAAAAAACTATATAATATAATATAATACAATATAATATAATATAATTGTGTCATCTTTTGAGTGTTTTTGTGAGTGTTTTTCTCATCAGTGTTTTTGTTGTAAAAGGAGTTAGGCTAAATAAGTCTTGACTTCAGCCTAAACCCCTTCGGTCAGGTATTTATTAGCATTAAAAAAATAAAAACCCTAATGTTTTTATTTTTCTGATGTATTTCAATCATCTTTTCCTTTTCTATTTTGTTTCATTGTTTTTTATGTGTTTGTTTTATGTATTATGTAGAGGATTTTTTTTATTATATATATATATTTTTTTTGCATTACATATGATCTATGACATATGATCTCAAAATGACTGACCGGAGAAATAAATAAATACAAAAAATACAATACAATATAATATTGTACCCAATTATTTTTGCTATATTATTGATGCTATGATATTATATAATAAAATAATCTATTGTGTAATGTCTGGGTTTAATGTTTTTGACAAGTTTAAAGTCTGGTCTAAAAAGTCTAACACATGAAGCTAATGTGGGAATTTTTTTAAATAACTGACTATTTGTGTGGGCCCAAATATCCACAGTGCATCCATAATTCCAACTCAAAACAAGTGTAAGGAGACACACCTTGCATGTTAAGGACCTTGTGCATGGCTTATGTGCTGTCATATCCACAACCCCACAATGGATATCTGGATTAAACTCTCGCTCTAGAAGAAAAATATCATAACAGAAACAGAACACATAAGATCTAGAAAACACAGTTTAGTAGAATTTCATGTGACAAATAGCATAAATATACAGTAGCACCAGTGACTATTATTAGCATTTACCTTGTCTCTTGTACAAGGGTCTTCTGCTACTGGCACTGCTGCTGTCCGTTTTCTTGTCTTGGGACGAAAGGTGGCCCTTTCCATTAGGGATCTGACCAGGGGCCAGCAGAGGAGCCTTTGGTATGGAGGGGAAGTTAAGGCCTGACTTCAGGGGGGAGGTGCTCACAGTATTGGAGGAAGAGGAGGTGGAGGTGGAAGAAGAGGCGGGCACGTGGGGGAGCTTGGCTGAAGATTCCACCTTCAGAGGGACCTTCTCTACTTTAACAGCAAGAATTGGGCTGGGAGGTAGAGAAATAAAGAAAGCCTTATATTGTACCAAAGGTGGGTGTGTTTCATATTTCATCTATTGTGTGCTTATCTTAACGAATTTATCCACTAAATTCACTTACACTCCATCAAAACACACACATACCTCTCTTCTTGCAGCATCCTATAGGAGAAGTGAGGCTTCCGGTGAGGAGGCTTCTCTTTGGTTGGTTTGTAGATTTTAGTGGGGACACTGCTGTTTGTGCTGGAGGTGCGTGCCAGTGTGCTTCCACTGACGGTCCCGCCCCCAACTCCGCCCCCAACACTGCCCTTATTTCGAGAAATTGCAAATGCAGCAGGGGCGGGATAGCTGGATGGGGGCTTGCTGCTGGAGCTGTGTCTTCTCTCTGAGGGGCGAGACATTTGAAATATTTTACTCTTTTATTGCTCAACATGTTAAAGGCAAAAATGTAAGTAAATAAAAATGTAAAGGCCCGTTTACACCAAGGACGATAACTATAAATATAACCATAAAAATTTAGTTCTAAAAACCTTCTCAATATTAAAGAATAGCAGTGAACGATAATGGCACAGAGAAACTGTTGAATGAGAAAAACAGACAGCCAATCAGAATCCATCCTGCTGTAATGAGCTCAAGCATTTAAAGTGACAGACATGCAGGCACTTCGAATAAACAGAATATCATCCGCTGGTGTGTGGACGCAAATATATTTATCTTTATAGTTTTAGTTCTTGGTGTGAACAGGCCTTAAAGAGCACCTATCATGGATTTTTGAAAATGGCTGTTCATATGGTGTGGAATATAGCTCTAAGGGAATGAAAACATCCTGCAAAGATTTATGTCTGAAAGTGCACCGTATATAAAGTTATTGTCTTTCAAAAGTGAGAGTCGACTCTGAGTCTATGAAATGAATTGTTTTTGAAACTAGTCATTAGCTGTTACATCGTGACATAGAGAGGTCATTGGCCGCTCCCAAAAACTGCGCGCGCAGACGGAAGTGTAAACTTGAAGTGACGTCTAGAACATATTCAAATACTTCAGCTGAATCGCATCAAGTCGAGAAGACGCTGTGTTCTACATTGCAAAGACAGTTCAGCCACTTGTTACCACTGTCCAGGGACGAGCATGTGAGGAATCAGTGGTCAGAGTTCATATTTGCAACACCCGAACCTTGTGTTCTCATCAATTTAATGACGAATCATTCAAAATTCAAAAACCTAAATGAATTCAAATGTGGATTCGCATTTCGCAAGTCGGTTGTTCCTGAAGGAGGGCTCAGTATCCAGTGTATATGGATCAGGTTCGTTGTCCTCCGAATCACAATCTGTAAGTAATATTAATAATGTTTGCTGTTATGTTTTCTGTAGCATGCACACTATAGTTATATTGTGTTGTGTACACTCCGCGCAGCTTCTAAGCGGGGTAAAGTTAGTTTTGTTTTTGATATTCACCAGACATTCTTTGAAAAATGGTAATTACCTCCAAATCTGACTTCGCTCTATATAATAAGCACTGTCCCTCAAAAGCCGCCACAATGTGAGTTTCGCCGGGAAAGCGCGAGTAAGGGACCGTGTGGAAAGTGCACTTTTTCTGACACGTTTGTTCAAACACTATATACAATTTTCAACACTTGACAAACTATAATCCTGGTTTATGGGCGTTCCGTTGCCGACAGTCTCTGCCTACGTTTTACCAATGACGACTGACTGGGTCATTTGACCAATCGCCGCAGATTCGCGTCACTCAAAGGAGGTGTTTGGGAAAATGAATCGTCAAACAAATTATTTGGGAGTCGTTGAGCAAATCAGTTAAAGGGCATATTGCAGGTTAGAGGACCCAACGAGTCAATGCATAGAAAAACAATGTAGGAACTAGATTTTCTTTAAAATATACGTATAAACACGCCACAGAAGCTTCTGCAGTCGTTTTTGTGAGAAAATTTTACTTCCGCGTCTGAAAATGGGCGTGGCGGGCGTGACGCAATGAGCGGGAGAGCGGTCGATTCACACAACAGGAAAACAATGGATCGCATGACATTTCGGACGCTGAGGAAATACTCGTATGACGGATCAAGCCATAAAGTTATGAGCCTGCTATGCTAAAGAGATCAGGGACAGGCCAGGATAATGTCAGACAGAATGGTCAGAGAAAAATTGACCTGTGATGTGAGGAGAACCAGTGGAGAACAGGACAGGTGCCTTTTAGGTGAGAGACGTGCTTATAGTATACACGTTCGCTAACGATACACTGTGCTCACAATATTGTACAGATTCTATAACAGGCCAGCAGACATTAGTATGTTTAGGGTAGATTTATATACTATTAAATGTATAAAAACTTTACTTGAGTATATTTCTATACTAAAAGCATAGGCTATACTCGGGTAAATTTTTAATACATATTTTTCACCTTGGTTATAACATAAACAGAACATTAAAGGTTTGAGTATTTAAACAACCAATTTTGTTTTTCAATTACAAGTTTTATTTAGGGCATGACATGACTAGTTACCTATATAACACTATTTGATGCCATTGGTAGTATACCACGATCAATATTCTTGCTTCGGCATACCATGTTGAACTCCATCATATCGCCGGGATGCTAATCATTTGATCTGAAGTGAACGCTACACACGACCGCGTTTCCCGAGCCGATGCAGAGGAGAAATCCCGTCTCTTCACCTGCTCAACCCGCACCAGGAACGAAAGATAGGCTATATAGCACCGTCCCTTTTATTGTAATGGAAACTTGTGGACTCAATCTTGAAGTCCTGACAGGCTGGAGTTTTTGCAATCTCCACAAACACAATAATTTACCATGACGATGATAAATTAAAATGCAAAAACTAACGATAGCACACTGACTGACGAGCGCTCTCACTGAACACCAGCCTGCTCTCACTGAGCCGAGGCTGCGGCTCCCTGATATGACGTCAAATGACGCGATGTTGAAAAAAAAGCCGTTTTTACTAGCAGTCCAAGAAACGCTCACTTTATCTTCTAAATTAGTGTCCTTATGTTGTTTTAAAACATTTTAAATCCTGCATTAACTTTTCATATGGTATTTTCATACAAGGTTATCTATAAATTTCGATTTTTTTTTTTACCTGCAATATGCTCTTTAAAAATAAATGCATATTATAAGACAAATAAAGTGTTTTTTATCTTTGTATGCACGTTAAACTGTTTTTGGGAACTCCTAAAACAAAAATAGGAACATTCAAATGCTATGATAGGGGCTCTTTAAGATGTCCAGTAAGGTAATGGTAGATTTGAACAGTCCAGTATTATTGACATTTAGTGGCATTTTTATGTTTAAAGCTGGTGGGTTGTAAAAGTTAATATTTATAAAATTATAATATAATTATCAAAAACTAAAAATATTATTTTTAATAGTTATTTGTAATGAAAATGTTTATTTTTTTCTATCCAGTTTTTCTCAATATCACAAACCGGTATATATTTTATGCATTCTATGTTGCTAGTGTCACAAAAATTATGAACTTACTAAGTTTTTAAGTTTAAGTAGCAAAGACTGAAGAAACCACAAGAGAAGAAACCACCAAGAGAAGAAAAGCCAGGGACAAATATATCCTTAACTTTTGGAGTTTGATAAGCTTTGAACCAAAAAAAAAAAATCTGTCTAGCTTTGCAGCTTGTCCACGATAACCATTTTAAAAGGCAAGTTAACCTAACCTGTAGTTAATCTAAGTAGATTAATGCTCCGACGCATATTCAGACACTCTCCTTTACTAAATAAACATTTACTCTCTCTGAGTAGTAATTTACAAGACACAAATGTGCAAGAGGAATGAGCTGCTGTGCTGCACTAACAAACGTTTCGGTCTCTCCACACTTGCCTGTCAAAAATACAGTCCTGCTGCTCTGGCCCATTGTTTATCACTAAGCCCTCCAGCAAACCGGGGCAAACACAGACACACTTTAGTCTGATGTCTCGCCAGTGTTTATCTGTGCTGATAAAACTACAGCAAAGGCACAAAAAACAGAATAAATAAAAGGAGGACACCAGGAAGAAATCCTTGACTTATTTATATCTCACAGAGGCTTGTGGCTTCATGCCGGGTTGTTGACGCTGCTCCGGGGAAAGTGAGCCAACATCAATTTGAGTAACCAAAGGCCAAATCGACAAAGCCCCAATTAGACCACAACAGTCTGTCATATTTTTCCCCATGCTGAAAAGCAATCTGGGACTGTTGTAAGGAAACTGTACACCAAATACTGCAACCTGACAAATGACCACAGGGAACTTCCGACATGAAAACCAAGAGCCTTGTGCAAATGTAGGATGGTCAGTGTAGACAAAGGCAGAGTATTGAAATGTACCATTTTTCATTTTACTTTAAAAATAGAAATGGAGTACAATTTAAGAAGCCATCAGCCTTTCAAAACTTCTAGAGCTGTAATAATCTATAAAATGAATTGACAAAAATCAATAAAAATAAATGCCCCGATACCAAAAACTGATACCACGCACTGTGTACAGTACAATGCTATAACAATGCAATGCAAATAAAATATTTACACCTAGCTGGTGTGTGCGAGCTGATAAACGGAACAAAGTGGATTGAATGCTCAGCGAAACAGACGCTTGTGAGCTTGTCGAGCACACGGATGCTTGAAACGAAAGTCTGTAGTTTGGTCGGATATGTCAGTAGCAAACAAGGTAAAACACATTACTAACGTCATGTAAAGAGAAAGAGGGAGCACGTGCACATTCCTCAACATCAACATCATCTATGCAGCTGACAAGGACTCAGAAAACAGTAGTTTATATTAACAAATTATTCAAATATTCTGTTTTTTCTGACATGTTCATAATCATAACTTTTACTAGTGCACTGCAACAAGTTTTATGCATGCGCTTGTGTGCTTAATACAATTTTTTAAATGCTCATTACTATGGTTTAGTATTTCTCTGTAATGTAGAACAATATAATCTTTTTTATCTCAGCCCTGAAACTGAAACAGTTTTACATATGGCATTGCCAACCCTCAGCCCCAGAGTATCCACAAATACATAATGCCGTGAAAATGAATTTCAGGACAGGAAACGTTTGAGTTCATTGTAAACAGATGAATGTTGAGGAGGATGCAAATGTATTTCTTGTTAATAAAGGGGCTAAATGAAAGAATTTACATCCATTAACCACTTATTGTACTGGCAATGAATCTTAAGAAAACAAAAGTTTTTCCAAAATATCCTCTTTTGAGACAGAATTTTCATTTTTGGCTGAAGTATTATTAACTATTAAAGGCAAGCTGCTGTACAGTATTAATCGTGAAAAAAAAAAATGAATAAAAAAACAGTGTGCGTCCATTTCAGCGACTCAGTGTGTTCATGTTCCTCACGGGTGTGTCGGAC